CAGAGTTAATGGCGTAGTTATGCGCCCCTCGGAGATCCTGTCCCTCGTGATGGACGAATTTGTCGTTACGAGAGCTTTTCTTTTTCTGCTTCTGCTCGGACGCGTTATCCTTCGCGGATGTTTTCGCCGGCTTATGCTTCTCGGACAGGATTTTAGTTTCCTCTTCGATGGTTATGAAGTCGGTGGCCTTATGGAGCGCGCGAAGTCGAGTTCCTCTTCGTCTCCAGTAAAGGAACATTCGGGAGACTACTCCGGTTGAGGACTGCGAGTTTTCCTTCTCCTAGGATTGACGTCGGCGTCTTCGTCTGTCGAGTCGGCCTGGTCGCTCGTTTCCAGGTTGACCCTTTTGATGCCGTCGCCTTCGGTCTCCTGTTCGCGAATAGGAGATTTTTCCGATTCGTTCAGCGTCGCGTCAGGGTTTTCTTTTCCGGAATCCTTTTCCGGTATGTTTCCCTGATCGATTCTGGGACGATCCGTAGGAGCGCCGAAATCGAGTCTCCTTCCGCGGATCTTGGTAGTTCCGCGGGGGCGAATAGCTTTGGTTCTCGCGGTTAGGGTCTCGAGCCGTTTTGCGAGCGAACCAATGAGCTTTTCCTGCTCTTCCGATTTTTTATTAAACTCGGAAAGCATCTTTTCGACGGTCTCGGCGTTAGCGTTCGTAGCGTTGGCTGCAGGCGCGTCTTTTGGTAGTGGTGTTTCAACGTTGTCGCGTTCGTCGCGAGTTTGGTTGTCACCAGACATCGTTTCTTCGTTGGACATGTTGCGGCTATGGTGTAAGATAGATCCGACCCCCCCTACTTCTAGCGCCAAACTGTGGGAGTCGATTTCACCCTACTGTCAAATAAATCGTAAATAAGGAAACTTTGGGAAAACCCTAAGATTCCAGAGGAACCGGCTATCTGCGAGAACCCCACAACAAAGATTAAGTTGACGAAAACACTTAGAATTAAAACGAAAAATAGGCGAGATTGAAAGCAAGAAGGTTCTGATTCCGAATCTGCTTTGAACTGGTACAAAGAGAGTAGCCGAAAACGTATGAACTAGAAAACCCTAATTGATACGCAGCTCGCTAACAGAAAAACGGAAAGATTTCTAAATGCTAGTTTTGGTGGTGAGAGCTCTGAATTTCGTGTGTGTGCTTCTGCCCTAGACCTCCTCTTTATATACTCCTCGTCTTGGCTATCCGATCTTTCCATTTCGCCCAGATTTGACTAAATCGGGAATTTTCCATTCTTCTCGATCCTTCCTTTTCTTCTGCGGAAATCTTCTATTTCTCTTCAAACCTTCCTTT